AAAAAGGAGAAGAAAAAGAAAGAAATGCGGAGACTTGGGACCGTGGGCCGCAGGCTCAGAGCCTCTGTGGCATCTGCCACTCAGTGAGGGAGGTCACTTCCGCCTCTGAACCTCAGCTTCCTCTTCTGTGAGTCAGAGATAGGACAACATCCCCTTGGGCCCATCCTGAAGCTCAGAATGAGATCAGATTTGGAGATTAGTGACAGCACAGTTCAACGCATCATTGTCACGCCTGGATTCTGTGCCAGTGGGGTACAGCAGTGGGCACAGCAGGCATGGCCTGGGAGGCCCACGGGCCAGGGCAGGTGTGCAGCAGTGCCTGGCACATAGTGGGTGCTCCATGAGAGTGCCGTGACCGGAGCTGTGGGCCTGAACACCGCATGGCACCTGGGGGACAGGGTGGGTGTGGAGGTGAGAGGGGAGTGCTAGACGGGGTCTCTCAGCCTGGGTTTCCCTTCCGCAGCCGCCCAAGGATGACGCGGCCATCGTGGGGGCCGTGAGGCTCCTGTCGGTGCTGATCGCAGCGGTCGCCATGGACCTGGCCGGCCGCAAGGTCCTGCTCTTTGTCTCGGGTGAGCGCCCTGCTCTCGGCTCCCCCCTTGTGCCTCCAAGGCTGCTGCGTGTTGGGCCTGGCTGGATGTGAAGCCAGCGACCCCGGCCCAGCTGCCCAGGGCCTGCCCTTGGATGGCCTGGGAGCACAGGGGCCTGCCTCCCCAGCACCTGGCACAGCCTGGCATGGGCCAGTGGCTCTAGAGAGTGCCACCGGGGCTTGGTATGTGAGTAAACATGCCAGCTGTGGCTTGCTGCTCCACAGGGGGTCTCCTGTCCCAGGGAGCCAGGCCCTGCCTGGATGACAGGTGGGGTGCAGGGTGCCCAGGGCTCTGTGAGGCGAGCTCCGAGAGGAGCAGCAGCTCAGTGCGTCCTGGCCCTGCGGGGCCACCCGTCTGTCCATAGCAGCCATCATGTTTGCTGCCAACCTGACGCTGGCGCTGTACGTCCACTTCGGCCCGAGGCCTCTGACTCCCAACAGCACCGCAGGCCTGGAGAGCGTGCCCTGGGGGGGCACGGAGCAGCCCCTGGCCGCACCTGCCAGCTACCTCACCCTCGTGCCCCTGCTGGCCACCATGTTCTTCATCATGGGTGGGTGCAGCGGTGCCTCCACGGGGTGTGCCAGGGTGCTGCTGTCCTCGTTTGTCTGGGGGTGGTCAGATGGAGGGTCCCTTGGTAGCGACAGAGGAGGCCTCCGCCGGGTACCCTGCAGGGCCTGAGCCCGCCCTCCACCCTCTCTGTGCAGGCTACGCCATGGGCTGGGGGCCCATCACCTGGCTCCTCATGTCCGAGATCCTGCCCCTGCGCGCCCGCGGTGTGGCCTCAGGACTCTGTGTGCTGGTCAGCTGGCTCACCGCCTTCGTCCTCACCAAGTCCTTCCTGCCAGTGGTGGTGAGTGCCAGCCCTGGAGCTCAGGGACCGCCTGAAACTCTGTGTAGCTGGCCAGGGAGGGCTCAGTGTTGGGGACTGTACTGGGGACCCACAGTGGCCCTGGGAGATGAACACGAGGCCCAGTGGTCCCATGACAACCTGGCAAAGGATCTCATTACAAAAAGCAGGAATAAGTTAGAGGGGTGGTGGGGAGCCATTCTGAGTCAGGTCTCCTGCAAGCAGCCCCGACAGCCAGCCCCCATGCTCTGTCTCGCCCTCCCAGGTACAGGGTCCCTCCTAGGTCTTAGCAGCACACCTGCTGCACCCCCCAGCATGAGGGCGGGCCCCCCACACACACGCACGCCCAGCCCCTGGCTCAAACCAGCCAGAATCTGCGTATTCCAGCTGCAAATCCCCACAAGGGAGAACCTCACTGGGGCAGCGCAGGACAGCGCCTAGCGGCTTCCTCAGTGAGTGGGACAGACTGAGGGCGGGGAGGGTGGTGAGTCAGCCAGGCACCCAGGATGTGCACACACCCTGCCAGGCCTCCAGCAGCTGACCTGGGGGTGAGGGAGTGCCTGAGCTGAGGCCAGGGCAGAGTGGGGCCTCCGAGCAGGGAGGCGCCCTGGGAGAAGACGGGGTAAAGACTTCGAGGACCACAGGAAATCGGGGCTCTGTCCTGGAGGCAGTGCGAGTCCTGGAGGTCTCTGGGCAGGGCGAGGCCAGGTGAAGGCCCCACACGGCTGGCCGCCACCAGCAGGCCCACGCCTTCCAGGGGTGGGAGAACCTGGGTTCTCCCAGTGATCCCGCACCTGTCTGCCCCCCAGAGCGCCTTTGGCCTGCAGGTGCCTTTCTTCTTCTTCGCGGCCATCTGCCTGGTGAGCCTGGTGTTCACAGGCTGCTGCGTGCCTGAGACCAAGGGCCGGTCACTGGAGCAGATCGAGTCATTTTTCCGCACCAGAAGGAGGTCCTTCCTGCGCTAGAGCAGAGTCCCTGCCTGGAGGGGCCAGACCACCGGGTGGCAGGGCCTCTGCGTGGGCTGCAAACTTGCACCCTAGGACCAGGAGGCAGCAGCCAGAGCACAAGAGGACTGGCCAGGAGTGTGACTGGGCCCCACCACGGCATGCTTTCTGGCTCTGACCAGGCAGTACTGTTGTCCTGCCACAGCCCGGCTCAGGCAGCCCACGGAGCTGCGTTCAGATCAGCTGAGACCACCAGCAAGGAGGCAGCCAAGGCCACAGGAGAACATGTGACCTGTTGTCCAGGGGCAGGGCCCTGCAGGCGACCTTGGGCCCAGCTCCTTACTTAGGTGCAAGGGCACTCCTCACAGAAGGCTGCAGTGAAGACAGAGAGGACAGGGCTGGAGATGGCAAAGCGGCATGGCCATTGTGTTCTGGACACTCAGCCGCCACCAAGCATCTGGACATATGGACATGTGGAATGTGCTGGACTTTCACCAGTCAGGGCACAGGACCCAGGCGGCCACTCCCTCCCACCCAGCCCCTGGAAGCAGGCAGCTCCTGGCTGCAAACTGTGTTCACCCTCTTTGTACAAATAAAGACAGAGGGCTGCAGCCCTAGAGGATGGAGTAGGATCTACTCCAGGAGTCGGAGCCCCTGCCCCAGCAGCCAGTCAGACCCAGACTCAGCACAGGAAGCCGGCCTGCTGCCCCAGGCGGGGTCCCTCCATGGCCACTCCTGACGTATTCACGGTGAAGCCAGAGAGGGCAGCAGACGGGCACCGGTGTGGGGGGAAGCTGGGCTCCTGCCTTCCTGGTGGGCCCTGCCCTGTTGGGCTGGCGCGCCCCTCATCCCCCAGCCCCTCCCACTTGGAACCGAGGCAGGAAGCAAGGGTACAAGCATACGAACCACAGCCTCGCTTTATTGCTCAAGACGAAGGCCAAACACAAAGAACAAGGGCATACGTGGGAGGCCCAAAACACAGTCCAGACACTGGCAGGAGCAGGACCCGGCGGCCCCACCGTCCTGGTCCCCTCAGCCACTCGGAGAGACATTCCTTGCCAAGCAGGGCCCCCAAGACATGTCCGCTGGGAGACAGGGCCGTGGGATCCAGGACCACATGGCCACAGCCTCACTGGGAATGTCCAGCAAAGAGCCTGTCCGCTCCAGCCTGTGACCAAGGGTCCTTCCTCCTCTGTGTCCCGCCCTAGGGCCTGCCTGGCACCCACCCCATTTCCCCACGGGTGTAGGGGTGATCCTGGACACACCCAGCCAATCCCCCTCTCAGGCTGTCATGAGGCCCCTCTGGCAGGGGCAGGAAGGCAGGGCAGAAGGAATTGAGCCCCACTATGGTAGGTAAGAACAAGCAGAGGGGGCAGGCCCTGGCTCCCCGGGAGGTAGACAGGTCTCATTCACCGCACACAGAAGCAGACACACACACACACACACACACAGCCCTTTGAGCCCAACACAGGCCTGAGGAAGGTGGCCCAGAGAAATCGTAAAGGCACGTGTCCGCCAAGCCGGTCACTGTAGGGCCCCTGCCACCGCAGAGTCAGCCTGATCAGACTCCAGGCAGACTGCGACTGACCCAGGAGCCCCAAGTGCCCGGGCAGTACTGGGCAGGCCTGGAAAAGGCCCCACTCCCAACCCAAGAGCCCACCACTCCAGCCTTAAATGCTGATGGGCCCAAAAGGCCTCTCGGGAAACAGCTCCGGCACAGGCATGGGGCTTGCGTCTACTTAACAAGACCCAGTCCCTGAGCTAGCAGGCCTGGCCGAGGGTCTGGGGAGGGGGAAGGCCGGGAGCTGGGTCCCCCGTGGAGTGGTTCCCATGCCAGCCCTGCCCTGCCCAGGCTTGCCCGGGCCCGTCAGACACGCCCAGCAGCTGAGGTCATGGCTGAGGGAGGATAGAAGGGCTTCCCGGCCCAGCTCCACGTGCTCCCCACGCAGGACTTGCTCCTGGTGGCCTGGCATCCTGGGCAGCAGGTGCAGCTCTCTGTGGGGAGATGGCTCTGGCCTGGGCCCGGTTCTCAAAAGGCAGATGTTCCCTGAGGGCAGGGCTTGGGGGAAGGCGGCAGGACCTGCAGTGGGTCATGCCCAGCCTCTCCTGGTGAAGTGGGGGCCGCTGCTGACACAGCAGGGCTACCAGATAGGGGTGGGCACCCTCATGGGTGCTAGGGAGAGCCTGCTCCCACACTTCCTTAGCACCAAGGCCTGAGGTGGGGTAGTGAGGGAGGTGGGGCAGCTGGGATATCCTAGGTGGCCTGTCCAAGGTCCCTGGCGTGGGCGGGGACCACTCCCCATCCAGTGGCCTGGTCACTGCCAAGCTGCTATGGGTACAGGGCACACGTTCAGAGTTCTGTGGGCTCCCACAAGAAAGGAGTGGCAGCAGGGCTGGACCCGTGGGCCGCATGGGAGGCCAGGCCGTCCTGGCCCCAGGTTCCACCTGCCAGGAGAACAGGGGCAGGTCCCTCTGCTCCGTGCCCAGGCCCGAAGCACCGGTGGCAGGAGCCTGCCTGACATGCCTCCCCTCGAGCTGGAACCAGCAGCTCCAGAGAAAGCTGCCCTCAGGCCTTGGGCAGAGCACAGCAGCCCTGCCAGTGGCATGAAGTCTGCAGATCCACGCAGTGGAGGGACGAGCCAGGTGGGCGTCGTGTATGCAGAGCTGCTGTAGCCCGGGCCCCAGCACCAGCAGCGTCAGGGGCTCCTGGCTTCGGCCATCTGGAGGAAGGGGCAGAGGAGGATTCTAGGGGTGGGGACGTGTGCAGAGGAGCTGATGGGGGCCAGGCAGGGGCTCTTCTTCCAGGCTGACCTTGGCCGACACCCAGGCCTTCCCTGGAAATGCTCATCCAGAGCCGGGCGGTGGGCGGTGGGGAGGGGCACCCAGCCCATCACAGCTCTCCCTCCAGGGTCTCGGCGAGCTTCTCCTCATCTGCCTGCTGCCTCTGCTGCTGGATCCTGGCATAGGAGATCGCATCGCCCCTGGGGAAAGAGCAGGCCTGTCACCTGGTCTGTGGGCTCCAGGCCCGTAGCCCTCCCAGCCACAGCCCGGTTTCTGGCCTGTGACCCACATGCATCCCAACTTCCCCAGACAGAGATCACTGCAGGGATAGCAAAAGCCTGTCCAGTCACCTCTGAGAGGGGCACAGGTTGCCTAAGACTCCAGTCTTGATCTGGGCTCTGCAGGACAGAGAGTGGCCACTGATCGGGATGTGTGGTATAGGACCCTGAGGGGAAGGGCTCTCATGAGCCACAGATCTGCTACCCCTGCCAAGGGCCGTGATGGGGCAAGAACCGGCCACCCAGAAGTCTTGTGAATGCCCTTGCCCTCAATCCCCAGAACTGAACACCCTGGAGATGCTGATGAGAGTCACTGCCAACTTCTATGCCTCGGTGTCCAAACCAGAGAAAAGGGGCCACTCTCAGACCTCTTCCCTGAGACACCAGGAGGCAGAAAGGGACAGTTCCACCCAGGGGCTAGGACCCAGCAGACGTACTTTTTGCCGAGAGCAGAGAGTCCGTACAGTACCCCCGTGGCAAAGGCGATGGCGTTGCCCAGCAATGTGGTCAGGGTCAGACTGATGACGATGGGAATGACAGCCATCCTGGGGGGGAACAGAGGTCAGGGCACTCCTAACCCATGGCTACCATGGTCTTTCCAGGTTTCCCAGATGCCCCAGCCCCCTTCTCGGTCAGCTGTGGGGCAGGAAGGGTCCCCTAAAATACACTCGTTCACAGCAAGGCTTTAGAAAGTCCTCGAAGGCCCCTGAGCTTGCCTGTAAAATTCTGCTCATTTCTGTCAACAGGATCCAAAGCTTTCAACAAGCTTGTGAAAGGGTCTATGACCCCGGTAAAAGAGTTACACAGTATGAGGTGGCCCAACGCTCTCACCACTGTCCACAGAAACAGGCCACCTTTTGTCTCAAGGCCCGGAGGGCAGCTGTGTCCTTTACTGGCTGAGACCACAGCTAGTCACCTGCCATCTCTATGGCTCAGCCTCTCTACCGGGTGAGGCAAGGCATGGTAACTACTTCCCATGATGCCTGGGGCATCGCGAGCCTACACACATGCTCAGAGGAAGACAGTGACGCCAGCCACGCCTCCACACACATAAGGTCCCCACAATTCAACCACATGGAGTGCAGGGTCTCATCACAAGGGTCATGAGACCAGGGCCAGGAGGTAGCTCAGGCCTGCCCAGGCCTGGCTATGGTTTGGCGCCACCTGGTGGTGGGGTCCACTGGGCTTAAACATCTATAGGGCTGATTCTCCACCAGGGGTGGAATTTCCAGACCAGTGTGGACTCCTGGGCTAACAGGACCAGTGCCCAGTCCTGTCACGTCCCTAGAGAGGGCTGCCTGAGAGAGGATGGGACTCAACCAACTGCATTCTGCCTGAATTTCATTTATGCTGACATGTGGTCATGAGATTTCTCTGTAGTTAAGAAATTTCAAGATAATAAAAGAATGATAGAAATGAGAACTACAAAAAAAAAAGGAAAGAAATTACAACGGAAAAGACTACAGAGGTGGGGGACCTTCTGACAAATCAAAATTAAAGGCTAACAACAGGCTAGAAAAATATCTGCAGGAAACAAGAGTAAAAGATTTTGAAATCTTTAATATAGAAAGCACAAATAACTTGCTAAGTAAAACACTAAGATTCAGCCAGATGCAGCGGCTCACACCTGTAATTCCAGCCCTTTGGGAGGCCTAGGCAGGAGGATCGCTTGAACCCAGGAGTTCAAGACCAGCCTGGGCAACATAGCAAGGCCTTGTCTCTATAAAAAAATTTAAAAAGTAGCCAGGAGTGGTGGTGCATGCCTGTAGTCCCAAGCTACTCTGGAGGCTGAGGCAGGACTGCTTGAACCCAGGAGGTCAAGGCTGTGGTGAGCCGGTGATCATACCACTGCACTCCAGCCTGGTTGACAGAATGAGACCCCAACTCAAAAAGGAAAACAAAAAAAGAAATCCCTTGATAGAGAAGGAATTATCTTGAGGAAAATTAGGGGTTGTGCTTTTGTCTACTAATGTGATCCTTAACAAATTCATAGGAAGTCCATGGAGTTAAGAAACAAAAAACAAAAAACAAAACGAAGATTCCGACTGGTTAAAAAAAAAACGGAAAATTTTCAAATAAGAAAATGTAATTACAACCTATAGGAGAATATTTTACCTCTCAGATAACAAACAGATGAATACAAATGAATACAAATGAATACAAAAGAGAATATTTTACCTCTCAGATAACAAACAAATGGTACACCGCCCTGGGCATCAGGGTGGGAGGACAGGGGAGAAACTGATGCAACCTTTTATAGAGCAATGTAGTCACATGTATCAAAATCTGTTTAATGATCATAACCTTTGACCTAATAATTCCACACCTGAAAGTAGATCCTAAGGAAATCATAAACATGGGAAAAGTTTTACCAGAAAGATGTTCATCACAGTAGGAACATTTACATTATAGCTAACAACAAATTAAGAAAAGCATGATATATCTGGCTAAATTCCTATCATTAAAAGTCATGGTATAATGCCTTTATGATAATGCTGAAAATGTTTACATCATTACATTAAGTGAAAAAAATCAGGATACAAATATATATAATGGTTATAACTATGTTAAAAACAGGCTTTAGAAAATGCCTGATAGCCAGACGTGGTAACTCATGTCTGTAATCCCAGCACTTTGGGAAGCCGAGACAAGAAGACCACCTGGGCAACTTGGCAAGGCCTCCTTGCTACAATAAATCAAAAAATTAGTTGGGCATGGTGGTGCATGCCTGTAGTTCCAGCTACTTGGAAGACTGAGGCAGAAGGATTGTCTGAACTCAGGAGGTTGAGGCTGTGGTAGCCATGATCCCATTACTGCACTCCAGCCCTGGGCAACAAAGTGAGATTCCAACTAAAAGAACAAACAAGCAAAAAATTGCCTAGAGACAGGAAGGACATTTCAAAAGGTTAACAGGTAGTGGGGCTTGAAGGAATGGCTTTCTATTTCCAAATTATTTTTAATGAAGATATATGACTGCTAGCATTTTTCTTTTTTTTTCTTTTTGAGTTGGAGTCTCACTCTGTCTCCCAGGCTTGGAAGGCAGTGGCATGCTCCTGCCACCGCAGTCTCGACCTGCTGGGCTCCTGCAATCCTTCCACCTCAGCCTTCCAAGTAGCCGAAACTACAGGCACGCGCTCCACATCCCGGCTAATTTTTTTTTTTTTGAGTTGGAGTCTCACTCAGTCGACCAGACTGGAGTGCAGTGGCCGCTCCCGGCCACCACAGCCTCGTCTGCTGGGCTCCGGCAATCCTTCCGCCTCCGTCTTCCAAGTAGCCGGAATTACAGGCATGCGCTACCATGCCCAGCTGATTTTTTGATTTATTGTAGCGATGAGGCCTCGCTGCCCAGGCGGGTCTCGAACCCGTGGGCTCAGGCAATCCACTCACCTCAGCCTCCCAAAGGCGCGGGATTACAGGCTGAGCCACCAAGCCCGGCTTAATTTTTTATTTATTATAGAGACGAGGTCTCACCAAGTTGCCTAGGTGGGTCTCGAACCCTTGGGCTCAGGCAATCCTCTCGCCTCAGGCTTCCAAAGTGCTGGGATTACAGGCCAGGCTGAACCACCGAGCCCAGCCTGCTAGCATTTTTCAAACAGTTTTTTAAAAACCCAAAGGACACAATGCTATGTGAAGATTGGTATTTTGTGATCCCATGTTCCTTCGTGATTTAGACACCGTAGGGAACAGCTCCAGAACTGAGCATGCACCTTGTGCTCTTACTGTCAAAACTACTGGGCCTCCACACAGGGGAAGAAAGCTTTGTTCTGTATTAATTTCTCAAAGGTGATGGCGCTGCTGCCAGCCTCCTATGCATCAGACATTGTGTATTAAACTTATCCTGAAATTAGTTCAATGTCATGACTCAGATGGGAAATATTATATACTGATTTCATTATTAGAAACAGGACAATTTTTTCTTTCTTGATACTGTGTTTCACTCTGTCACCTAGGCTGGAGTGCAGTGGTACCACAGTCTCAACCTGCTTGGCCCAGGTGATCCTTCCACCTCAGCCTTCCAAGTAGCTGGGAATTTTTTATTTTATTTTATTGTAGAGACCAGGTCTCACTAAGTTGCCCAAGCTGGTCTCAAACCCCCAGGTTCAGGCAATCCTCTTGCCTCTGCCTCCCAAAGTGCTGGGATGACAGGTGTGAACCACCATGCCCAGCAGGACAACTATTAGGAAGCATTACTTAGAAAGCAATACTTTCTGCTGTGCAGCTTGCTCTTCCCCTTTCAGGCCAGGACATCTAGGTGGCCCATGCTCTTTGGAAAGGCACAAGAGAAACACATCCTGTGGACATGCTACAATCTGTTTAACAACTCCCTACTGGTGGACCAAAGTTCCAGATGTTTCCCACTTTCCTCTACTGCACGTGGCACTGCAACAGGTGCTCACATGCTCGGAACCCTCACAGACCATGGCATGGCTGCAGGCTGAATTCCCAGGGGCGAAGCACCTGGACACATTTTTGGCAGTTGTCATCCAGCCACGCTGCACAAAGGCGATCCCAGCTTAAACCTCCACCAAGAGGAGAGAAAGCCCCTGTGCCCTACCCACCCTCACCTGCCCTTCAGGTCATTTCGTCAGCAGGATTCCGGAACCCTGCCCGGCAGTCCTCACCCGCAGTAGAAGACAGCCTTCTGCCAGGAACGCAGCCGGTCCACCTTCTCCGCCACCGTGTTTGCAAACTCGACAAACTGGCAGCAGAAGGGCGCCTCGCACAGCAACAGCACAAAGGCATTCATGCTGCAGGGGCAGGGGCCAGAGAAGAGCACGACTGACGACCCCGGGCACGAGCAGCCCCAGGGCCAGGGCCACGAGCAAAGCCACCCTCCCTCGCCCCCTCCCTTGCCCTCCTCCAGGAAGCTGCCTGGCCGCTCCAGGGCACCTGCTTGTCCCCTGGAAGGGCTTCTGCTAAACGTTCCACCGCGCCCCAGCTGCTCCCCATGCTTGTCTCCCCAGCAGAACTGAACTTGCCTAGAGAGCAGACCCTGGGTTCTACTTCCCTCATCTATCTGGCCTGGGAAACAGGGGGAAAGGGACCCCTGTCATGGTGTGTGGGAAGCCTGAGGTAGGTTCACCCGCAGTCGGCACTTGGCAGCCATGCCAGCTATGAGTACTAGCGCCACCATCACTGACGTCCCCACAAGCGCTGGGAAGGCTGCCCTACCAGGACAGTGGAGCGTCGGAGCCAGTTCACAAAGTCACAGGGGTGACCACGCACCCAACACCCTAGGGCCCAGGGACACACAGACAGGTGCAGCAGACACAGGATGGCCCTGAGAAGCCTGGACCGGGAAGGAGAGAACTCAGCAAGCCCTCTGTCCAGCCCCATGTTTGGTCTGGGAACAGCTATGTCACTGGTGCCGAGGGTACCTGCTCTGGTCTCTGTGTTCTCCATGGGTAGATAGCAGTCAGTTGCTAGACAGCCCATATAATGCGCCAGGCCCTTCTATCTCCCCCAAGCCTGGGAAGAAGGTGTCATCATGACACCCTTTCAACAGAAAGGCAAGGTCCCCAAGAGTCACCCAAACCCCCGCCCCAGCCCCATGAGGCCTAGGGGAGGAACTCTTCACAACTCCTAACATCCATTCCCACCTGCAACTCCTGCCCCAGCCTCCCACGTGCCAGGCCTCCACCATGCATCGGACTCGACCAGGCTCCAACTCCAGCCCACAAAGCCAGGCCCAGGCTTCCCCCACCGCTGCCCGTCAATTCTCATCCCTACCACCTTCCGCCAGCCAGGTCGTGGTGCCCCCACCACAACAAGTCCCTGAGTCACCCAGGGCGGGACCTGTACTTTGCCTATCTGGTGCCCTTCAAGTCCCACAAGGTTACTAGCAGACTCTGGGCACACAAACCACTTTTCATGTGCCTCAAGTGGACAGGTCTCCTCCATCTTCTCTTCCAAGGAGATGGAGCTGCCTGGCAGGAAGTGGGCATAGAACCCATCTGAGGGTCCTGTGAGTGGCTTCCTGTGCCAATTTGGACTTGCGCTTCCCACTTCCCTGGCATGGTTCCCAGCCCTGAGCTGGGTATGCCCTCCCAGCGCTCTGATCCTCCAAGTTCTTAGCCGGACTCCCAAACCATGACCCTGGGACCCCCCAAGAGTGAGGGTCCGTTGTGGTGGGCTTGGGGCCTACAAAGTTGGCCTGGGTAGTTGCACAAGAGATGTCAGTGGCCCTGGCTCTGCACCTGATAAAGGCCTGGTGGGCATTCCCCTGGCCCCAACTCCTCCTTGAGAAACCTGAACATGGTACGTGCATGATGGAGGGGAAGACCCACCCATGCCAGAAACCCACATGCCCCGAGCCCCAGCAGGGTAGGACAACAGACACTACTCACATCATCCACACACCAGCCGCGATGTTCAGAGGGTGGACAGTGACGCAGTTGAAGAGGCCAGAGATGGCGCAGGCTTGAAAACAAGAGACAGGGCAGGATTAGCAGGGAGGAAGGGACGGGCCTGCCGGGATGGTAACCAGGAAGGTCTCAAGAATCAAGAGTAGTCCCTGGCGTTCAGCACCCGGTTCTTCTCCACCAGCCATCTGAGGAGGCAAGGGTAAGACTAGGTGGGGTGGAGGGGCTTGTGTCAGCCCACACGGGTGGCACAAAGGCTGCGGTGGGTCTCAGAGTGGCCTACTCTCTCCATCCCAACTCGGAGGAGCAGCCCTCTGACCCCACACCCCTGGAAAGTAATAAGGGTTAAGGAAGGGTTACAGAGATACGTCCCTGCAAGGGCTCAGGTCAGTGCCCTGCGTAGACTTAGCCCTTGGTAAGGGCCACTGTCCCTATTCACAGGGCAGTCACACAAGAAGTCCTCTGCCTGTGAAGCATGGCTGGGATTCTGGTTGGGACAAGGGCTGCCTCTCTTGGAACCAAGACCGGAAGCAGGCAGGACCTGGCCAACAATGCCAGCTCTGACATTCACCCTAGCCGGGGCCTGGGCATATTCTCTTCATCTTCCTGGGCTCAGTTTCCCTCTTGCATGTCAGCAAGTCCCATAGCCCAGTCCACCCACCACTGAAATGCCAAGGGGGCCGCAAGGGGATGGGGCTATCCTCTCCCACCCGAGAACGTGGCTTCTCCAACACCCAGAAGTGCAGTCTTGACCCCCTCCCAACTGTGCCTTCTGGCAGGGTCCCCGCCCCCACAGTCCCTGTAGCCCAGAGCCCAGCTCCATCAGGAGCTCCATCCAGGAGCCTGCGAGGCACATCTGGAGAGCCACTGTCGGCAGGAAGCAAGGCTGGCACGGCTGGGGTGGGAAGCGGGACCTCGCCTTGGCAGCCAGCTCATGAAACTTGCATTAGCTCCTCTGCACCTGATCCCTGACAGGAGGCTGGAACTGCGCCACATCCCCGCTTTCCATGTAACCCTATGCAGACAGCAGGCCAGGGAACCAGATGGAGTCCAGACTACAGGGACGCCCTCCTGTGCCCCCGGGTCTCCTTCCAGAATGAAGCACTCCAAGGTGGCACTTATTCCTCAGCACGCCCTTAGGAACACAACCTTCACCCAGTGAGGGGCTCAAGCCACAAACGTGGGGGGCACTGCCTGCCCTGCAGTGCCCCAGGATAGCTCAGCTCCCGCTCACTTCCCGGCAGCAACTGGCCTCACAGGGCAGCCTGCCTGGCTTCCTGCTGCAGTCAGTGGTCACCTCCAGCTCCAGTGCCACACCCGGTCTGACCCACAGCCAGCCTTGGGGAGGACCCAATCTCAACCAGGCCAGCAGGCTCCAGGCAGGAGTCCCCTAACAATAAAGGACTTGAGGATGTCTGCTTGGGGGTCTCAATGCTGGCATCTTCCACACGAAGGAGTGGCAGCATGCAATCTTCTCACCAGTGAGCCAGTGCCCCCAGGTGCTCTTCAGACCCTGGGAAAATGCCTCTCTCTGAGGCGCTCACTCCAGAGGAAGGCAACCCTACCCCAAGTGACCATCTGGGCACACAACCTTTGTTTGAATTCCTGTTGCATCTCTAAAACACCGACCTTTTGCATCCTACCTTGTATACAGTATTTGATATTCAGATGACAATTCAGGGTGAAGTCACAAATGTACCTGAGGCTTTTAGCTACAACATACCAACAGCACCAGGAACTCCTGGGTGCCCACAGCACAGAACAGAATGGGATTCCAAGGTTCACCTGAGAGTCGGTGGAGGCTAGGGTCACTGGCCAAGACGGAGGCAGGATGGTGGCCTAGAGACCGGAGTCGAGACCTTTCTCCTCCAGCAACCATTGTCACCCCTCCGCTCCGCCCACTTTAATCTGCCCGGAAAGAGGTAACCAAACCTGAGAGGAGCCAACCGAGGGCTAGCCTTGAGCCCTCTGGTAGGAAACCTTGAGCCCTTCCACAAAGTCAACAGTGTGCTTGCTCTGAACAGCAGCGACAGGGACAAGGACTCGGGTCGTTTTGTGGATCAGGGCATGCCTTGCCAAGGGCAGCACAATCCTCACCCTGCACCATCCTGCATGAACCTCCTCCACCCACCTGGAAAGACTATGGAACTCGAGGGTAACCCCGAGAAGGTGTTCCTTCTGACAGGAGAGCTGATGGGGTCTTGCCCTTCCCAGGACCCAGCCCTCCGTGCCAGGAGGCACCATTTAAGCCCACAAACTTCCTTAACAGACACTCCCTTTCTAAGACCTTGTGCTGTGCCAGCTCCGGTGATTCACAGTGCTGAGGACAGAGAGGAAAGCACATCATTCAGTTTTACATATGCTTTATAAACTGAATAAAGGCTATTAAAAAAAAAAAAAGACTTAATCTGCCTTTGGAAGCCCAACTGTATGACTTGTTTTTTTCTTTGAGTTGGAGTCTTACTCTGTCACCCAGGCTGGAGTGCAGTGGCACGATCATGGTTCACCATAGCCTCAAATTCCTGGACTCAGGCGATCCTTTTCCCTCAGCCTCAGTCCTAAATCCTAAGTAGCTGGGACTACAGGTGGATGCCACTGCACATGGCTAATTTCTTTTTTTTTTTTTTGTAGAGAGACAGGGTCTCACTGTGTTGCCCAGGCTGGTCTCAAACTCTTTGACTCAAGCAATCCTCCCACATCAGCCTCCCAAAGTGGTGGGATTACAGGCATGAGCCACCATATCTGGCTAACTATATGATCTTTATTTCCTTCCTGTAGCAAATCTGCCTCCCTTCTTATGTTCCTTTTGGGCTTGTAAAAGACTCTGGCTTCCCTGGGAACTTGAGGTCAGGGCATGTGTCTAGGGTGTGTTCGGAGGGCAGGAGAGGAGCCAGTGAGACACAGTAGCAAAAAGGGAGTTGACAGTACACAAGAGACCCAGGGAAGAGGCCGCCACCGCTCCCAGCTCACTTTCTGGCCACTCTTAGGGGGTCACCTGTCCCCTGACACCAACTGACCCTTAGGAAATTTCCGCCCAATGGCTTCTTGCCACGAATCTAGCCATACCTGTACCCGCTCCCCCTATAAACAATCTTAGCCCAAAGGTTAGGAAAACGGCTGTCCCCACCCATGCCCAGGTCAAAACGCTACCCGCCAGGCTGGGCAGACAGCCCTCAAGCATCCTAGGAAAATTCCACGACAGCCTGGAGGTGGGTGCAGCCATTGGCCTGAGCCACAGAGGCGGCGATCGAGGCGGGGTGCTCGGTCACTTGCCCCAGGTCAGTGACCCCCTCCCTGGGGAGGGTTTCTGATCCCTCCTGGAAAATTCCCAGGCCCGCCAGCCCAGCCCTGGGGACAGAGGCGCCCAGGCAAGAGCGGTAACCATGGCAACCCCAAGGACGCCGGCTCCCTGCTGCCCCAGTCACTTCCCCGGCCCGGGAAGTTCCCCGCAGACCCCCGACCCCACGCGAATCCCTTCTCTCGGGGGCGCGCGGGGCGGGGCCGGGACGCGCATGCGCGGCGGGCGGCGAGCCCGACCCCTCTCTCCCACAGAGTACTCACAGACGGCCCCTAGCACCCCTGACAGGCGACACAGCCAGCGATACCACCACGTCATGCCCTCCTCCTGCGCGGGCGGCGCGGAACCG